TCTTTTTTTTTTTGGTATCTACTTATTAATAAAAGCATATAATATATCGATGGGATGTTAAATCATTTTCCATATATGTTTTGACTGATTTGTGACAAGAAAGAAGAACGAGGTTTAAAAAAAAAATCATATTTAATAGAAAGAATAAACTCAATTGTGGATGTCTTCATAGAATACCATCAGAATTTAGGCTATCTGGATTAGTCTAGGTTTCGGCAAAATGTTTTAAAGAAAAAGGAACCAATTTGCAGGTCGACAAGGAGGAAGAGTTCTCACCGGAGTAGCTACGGAGGAAGAGGAGGAGGTGCCTAGCATGTCAATATCGCCGCCCGATAGTGTAACGTCATCGTTTCAATTGGATTTTGGGATTAAGAGTTATGGTTATGAGAGAAGAAGCAATAAGAGAGATCTTGATGATGAAGTAGAGAGATCTGCTTCAAGAGCTAGCAACGAAGACAATGATGATGAAAACGGATCAACAAGAAAGAAACTAAGACTCTCTAAAGACCAATCTGCTTTTCTTGAAGACAGCTTCAAAGAACATAGCACCCTTAATCCTGTTAGTTTCCCATAATTATTACCTTCTTCTTTTATAATTTTGTTCTTTAGTTCTTGATTTATTTATATACTTTTTGTTTTCGAGAAAACCAAGTCTTACTTAGCCTTTTATTTTTGATTTTATAATATAAAAAACATTATAGAAGCAGAAGATTGCGTTGGCGAAGCAGTTGAATCTTCGTCCTCGTCAGGTTGAAGTTTGGTTTCAAAACAGACGAGCCAGGTTAGCTTATGTCATTACTCAATAGTTTCATTTTCTTTTCATGAAATGTTATTTTTTTGTTATTCTTTTGGGAAAATATTTGTTGTGATGATTAATTTCTGAAAAAGGAATGAGGACGACATGCATCACGAGTAATAATAACACATTGTCGCATGTCTATTCTTGTCATTTTTCGTGCAAAAGTAGCATATCACTTCTGCTCATCATTTCCATATATATATAAATGCTTATACTGACTTATTT